CAGGCAAGACATCTCCGGACAGAGGTAACACACAAACTGACAAGATTGGCTGAAGGACTCCCTTTTTAGGTGTTTTTGCAATGTGCTTCCTGTCAGAGGAGGTGCCTAGCTCTCCTGAAATACTGGAAGGCAATTATGGAAAATAGATTGCCATGCAGGAGTTAGGGCTTACATAATTGTATCACCCTCAGCTAACAACTTGGTTCAGGAAGTAGTTGCTGACCTGTCAGGAGGAGTTCAGCAATGCCTTTAAAAAGTAATAAATACCTGCGTCACTTATCATGCATTTGCCATAAAAAAAAAAAATCTGGCTTTTGAATTATCATCAGTATTCCTTTGTTACTCTTTCTGCAAAAGCAGTAGAGCCCCCATGGACCAGTTTATCTAAAAAAAAAAACATATCTATGAAGTCAAAGGTTCTTCCACTGTCAATATGCTACAACAGCACCATTTCCTTTAACTATTTCTTGTTAACACTGATTTCTGGATGTGAAAGAAGGCCATTAACCATGTGCAAATATGTCAATCTCTGTCAGCTTTGGAAGGTCCAAAAAAAAGAAAGTCACTCCAGCTATGCACTGGATCAGGAGGAGTTTAACATTAAGATGAAAAAAAATGGTACAAGGGCAAAACTCAACACAACAGGGGAAGGGTTTAATAAAATTAATTTTATTGCATTTTGTGCTGACAGGAGTCTCAAAACAAATGAAATCGGCACATTAAAGCTGTATGAGTAAGTAAGGTAGCATTCAATCACAATGAGAACCACACTGCAAAAACTACACAAAACATGAAACTATTTTCTTTAAGATACATAAATAAAAAGCAGCCAGTATGTGTAGCAGTGTTTCATTTGGTTTGGAACAGGAATATCTGTACACGGGTTAAATCTATATTTGTAGTTATAAACTAAAGGTTAAAGCATTTTCTTTACTAGCTATCTAGAGAAATAGCACACTTGCTAGGTTACTGGGACTTACGTAAAACATAGAGTGCATCAGGGACTTGTCAATCACATTGGTTGTGTGGATTCTCAAAACACATATATAGATATCTAATATGCGTGCATGTGTGTGTCTGTGTAAATATATATATATATATAGCACAAAGTGAGTCAAATCAAAACTTCAAGCTTTTGGGGGTCCTTTACCTCTATTTAAGCTGTGTCTGCCAGGTTACTCTGGCTTTCATAGTGCAACTTGTTAAAATATTAATAAATTTCCCACCTGCCCATGATAATGTCAAGTTCCTTATTCCCTCCCATCCCCAAATATATATATATATATATATATATATATATATATATATAGAACATATTTGTTCAGCAGCATCGGATTACTGGAAGAATTTTGAGCAGATGTCCTGCTTAGCTTTGTAAAGCATTAGCTCTCTGACTCAGAACTAGGGGCTGAGCAGTGCCGAAATCTTGTCTTTATTCCTAGAGATGTAGTAACTGGTACCAAAATAACATTTTCACAAAGGTCCCTGATATGTCTGCATAGAAGCAAAAAAGCGTGTGCCCAGATTCTGCCCTACAGAAATACCATGTATTAGCAAGTTTGTCCACTTATTCTGGTCTCTTGACAGGTTTCTCCTCTGACACATCACCAGTGACCAAGAAGCTTTTTCACATTACACTTCAGGTTCTGTAAAGTCTAGCAGGAGTTAACACTGGATGTGGGCCTTTTCAGTGTTAGCTTTTAGGCTAAATTAAAGTTAGGTAGCCTGCCAGAGGTATAATGATATCAAATTATCATGATCAGTGGGTTTAAAAGGAGAGCTGTGAAGACCGTCTGAGTAAAGAAAAAAAAAAATGTAACTCCCAATTGTACTGTGCTAGAAATAAGTCTTGATACATTGGGGGGGACAGTGAAAAATGGTCAATGTCTTGTGTAAATGTTAATCATTCACCCCCCAGCTGCAAAAATATCAGCCTTGGAATAAACTGCAGGAAGGACTCCTGCTTTCTTTGTGGAAGCAGTGATCTCTCTGTAACTGACACCCAACCCCCCCTACCTGTTGAGTAATATCAAAGCTTCTGCACAGACAGATTGGTTTTCACTGTTTTTGGAGGTTTATTTGCTGCTGTTGGGGATCAACTAAAATCAATAAGTAAGACATTGACCATATACCTTCTCATTGTGCCTCAATGTACCTGGACTTTATTCTCTTACAAAGTACAGTTGGCCTTTAACTTTGTACTGCTTGCCAAGGTCATTCCCTTCTTTGTCCTGCAAGTCACCTCACTCTGATTTATTCCCACATATGTCTATGCCAGGGCAGGGACATTTTCTACTTATGAAAAATCAAACATAGATGACCGACCTGCTTCAGCTTCTCAGCTCCACCTGGAAGTGGTTCTTTTTTCAAAGTAGATCTTATAAAAATCAATTCATCTGTAAATGTTATCATTTTCATCCTATTTTACCAGGTATAAGCAAAGACCCTCTAGATTATAATTTAATGCCAATACTTTGTTGCCATTAGTTGTCTGTGGACATCATTTGGAGCTAAAAGAGAACCAGTTTTTCCACTCTTAGAGGCACTTTAAGTAGCAAAAACCCAAGGATTCTTCCCAGCTAGACCAACATTATGTAATTGGCAATATTAAATAGGCAAACCACAGCTGCCTAAACCTTGCCGCTTTGAATTTAGTAAGTTGGTATGCTGTTATGAGTGAGGTACGTCTTTGCACATATAACAGCATGATTAATAATAAAAAAAAAGAACTCTAGTTTGAAATCACAAGCATGCAAAGCTGGTGAATTCCTTACTTCACACACAGTCACATGGATTGTTTGACACTAGACTTACTACATTGGTGGCTCAAACTCAGAATGAAGAGGGGAACCTCAATTCAAGTGTATCTGATTTTAAAACTTTAAATTAAAAAAAAATCTGAGTTAGATCAGAGGATGGTATCATGCAGTTGTTATTTATGCTGGGCCCATGTGGTTAGTGTGTATAACAGTATCTCACGAGGTTGAGGACAGAGTACGTTTATAGCAAACACTACACTTTTCATTTTTGAACATGAAACCACCAGAATCAAAAATAAAACACTATATAAGCATACAAATGATAGATAGATAGATATATATATATATATAGACTTTGCAATATTTTGTATCATTTATACAAGGTATTGAGGAGCTCGGGCTATTAAACAGTTATAAAAATATTTAGACTGAATGTGCTACACTTGATAAATTTTACCGTATTACATGCTCACTCTATCATTAAATTCACTTCGTTTTAAACAGCAGACCTCTGCAGTCTGAGTTATTTTCTATATGTTAACATATATATATATATATGTATATATATATATGTATATATATATATATATATATTTATTTCTTTAAAAAAATTATATACACGTGGCGTTTGGTGTCGAACACACACAACACCACATATAGCTGAAAGTCACAGCTCTATTGACATGGCACTATAAATGATTTCTCACACCTCAACTGCATTTTATTGGCGTGCTCATTTATGATTATAGAGCCTACTAATAGAAAGTGGGGCTCGCCCAAAAGAACCACGTGAGAGTATGAAAACAAAAAAATAAATAAAAATAAGAGCTGTAGGAATTGAAACAAAAAGGAGCAGTTTGGCCAATTCTGGAAGACCGGCTCCTCGAGAGAAGAATAATCCTTCAAGATCGACAAATCCTAACGAAAAGGTGAGGCTTTAAGAGTGCAAGGACAATACCGGCCTTATATCATTTTAATAGATTTTCATCTAACAAAATCACAGATCAATTCATAATGTCAGCCATTCTGCTAGTAATTATTTCCTTTCCAGATTTGTCATTGGGAAAGAAGTTCATGTATGTGCAGAGGTGAAGGCCAAAAAGCAAGCCCAAATCACAGCTGAAATAATGATGACTGGGGTAGCGTGAGATGAATGAGACAGCTTTTTTTTTTTTCCCAATATCCTAGGCCATGCAGGGTGAAAATAGTGGGATTAGCTCACAGTCTCTGAAAGGTGCAGTAGTTTCCCTGCCACTGATCTAGAATAACACAAACTGTTGGCTCAGTTTGCTTGTCTAGAACGTTGGTATAATCACTGTGCACCGTTCCTCTGGCACAGTTCATCCAAGGCAAGCCTATAAAGCAAAGGGTTGAAAGTAAAAGGCAGATACAATTGTTTTTTTTTTTGTTTTTTTTTGCATCAGATTATTATTATTGCAACATGCTCCTCGGCATCAGACAATATATTAAGACAGCCCTTTCTTGATTTCCTGCACAGCTGAGTGGTCTTCCGTATAGCTCTGAATGCTGCTTTCAAATCCTCAACACTCCAATGGTCATTCTTTTAGGGTACGTGCAGTCTGAATGAAGAGAGTACATTTTTCATGTAACCATTGTTTCTGCTGTTCCCCAAATTCCAACAAATCAAATCGCTGAAGCCGAGGAGAGAATGGTGGTGTTCAAGAAAAGGGCGTAGAGAGAGGAACATTTGGAACGATAAAGCATGCTGGTGAATACCCCCCTCTCTCCCTTATCTTGCCACACCAATGCCTTAATCAACGAGATTGGTCTTTATCACCTTATGGTGAAGATGAGGGGGAATCTCCTGATTTCTGCCAGTACAACCCATGTGTTCTCCAAGTCTGTGTCAGGGAGAGATTGGTGGAACAGTGGATCACAGGATGCACAAAAGGGCCAGTATCGATAGCGTCTTAAGCAGTGCGGCTCAGTTTAAGAAAGGTACATAGACTTTATGTAAAGATTCATATATAAACTTCATCAGTGGCACTCTGATGAAGGTATGAGGAACAGTTGCACTTGTGCTGGAATGGAAGATCTGGTGCTGCAGTTCACATGTAAGGAGGGCATTAGAGGGGAATGGTGGTAGCAAGTGAAGTTTCTGAGCACTGACCATATGCCTCCCCACCCACCTCTCCTGGTTTCTGTACCACCTCTTGAATTTGGAGAGAGGTTCGAAGGCTCCTGTTAAGTGCAGCAAAAACTTCATCAGGGTTCTTGTCTTCATGAATAAATGGTAATAACTTCTCGTCCTCCCCCACGAACTAACATAACTCGGTCCAAATGTTCTGTGAGGACCTCTAAAAATTCCATATCTGTGGAAAACAGTAGCTCAGGAGCATAACAACTTAAATGAAAATGCTGAAACAATTGTTGGTAACACGTTAGGAGAGATAAATGTATTCTGAATTTCCTATCACCCTTCCACTGTACTTTGGAAAAGTTAACAATATATTGATAGTTTTGATGAATATGGAAGGTTGTTTTATATTTTAATTTTCAAATCTGCCCAGTGATAAATACCTACAGACTGAAATTACTAGCGACTGCAGCAATAGCGGAAAAACAGATTTCCTTTTTACTACGAAATTTACAAGATTTCAAGGTGTTTTAGGCCATCCAGGAGATATACTGTAATGTTGTGCTAAGGCTGCCTAGAGTCTTCTTACATTTGGGCAGAAAATAATTAAACCATAGACCGTCCTTGAAGGACCTGGTACTATTGGCAAGAATTCAGGTTGACACTGGTATTCATTTTATCTAAATGCACTAGCAAAGTAGGATCTGGAATGTGAAGATGATGAGGCAAGGACCCTCTTAACCCCCAACCTGTTTTACCTCCTTACCATTCCCCTTTTGCTCCCACTTTCTTTTCCCTACTTACTACATTACTGAAATACTCACTCACCACTACCCCTCATCTTACGGACAAAACTACACCTCAAAGGATTCCACCTACTCTTGAGACATAAAGTACACAATAATAAAGTGCCGTTTCTACACAAAAATACCTTGCCCATTGGTACCTTGCCCATTATCTCATACCCACCCTATCTCAGTGTATATGTTCAAATCTCAACACCTTCTGCTAATATTTGTTCTGAATGTTGACGGTATCCTCTGAAAATCATGTTTTTAACTTGTTCTGTCTTGAGGAAGAATAAATGATTAAAAAAGCTATATCAATTGGTCAGATGTCTCCTCTTAGCTTTAAAGTACACTTATATAAGGGAACTAATTTAAAACAAGTACAAGCATCATAAGATGCAATGACAGTTCTTCGCAGCAAGCACCCCAGGAGTCTAACAAATTTTATATTCAAAAGAAGACGTCTTGTTTGGAGAAAAATTATACTGACCACGTTCTAATACTCAAAGCTTTTGGAAACATCTGAAAAGGCAGTCTGATGTGGGCAGTGGTGGTCTCAGCATGTCTGTGCTACCACACTATTGTTTAATACTGGCATAGTAAATTAAAGAGTTTAAGGGTGCTTTTGAAGGTTGCTGTGAAAAACGTATGTACAAGCACTTGATGCCGGAGGTTATATGCTTTGTTTCTCTTTTTTTTATGTACGTTTAATAAATAGCAGAGGCACACTAAAGAACTTTGATATCTTCTCACCTTTCCTTAGATCTTAGAAAGTTTAAAAAAAAAAAAGGATACAGTTTTCATCTCCTTTCCTATTGCGGGGTGGGCCTGGCATATTGAGAAGAACAAGTTTTGCATCGTGAGATTTTTTGACTATGACTTCATTCAGTTTCACCGCTGTGTGCATCCTACGAACATTTGATTGGTTCCTGTACAAAAAAAAAAGATCACATGCTGTAAAGTACTAAAATAAATGTGCCATATAAGAAAATCAAAATGCCCTGTAATATAACTAAAAATTTAAGGGAAAAAGACTTACAAGTTCTCCCCACTCACTTTGTTTGCAAAAAGAGGGAAAAAAAACAACCGTTAGCCAGAAAAGAAAACTCCATTTAACTTCGCTACCTATTCAATGTACTAATTTTTCTGTAGAAAATGTATCAGCATGCCAGTAAACAAATTTGAATTAAAGTGTATGGGCAAAATGAAAAGAAAAATCATATTTATTATATCACTGCAATACATTCACATTAACTCACATTTTATCCTTTTAAAAATGCTGTACAAGTACGGAAAACAACTGTTGATTGGATGGATATACAATGTGCTCCTTAGTCCCTGCCTGCTGGATTACAGAACTGCACCTGGCCCCCGCCTTGCTCTGTCCCACTCCCCATACATACATTGATTTATTTACCAGAAAATTATTGCTGCAGTCTTGACTCTCAAGAGTTTGCCCACACACTCGGGTTTATGTACTAAAGCTGTTTAACTCAGAATCTGGTGCACCTGTGCATAGTAGCCAATCAGCTTCTAACCTCAGTTCGTTCAATTAAGCTTTAGGAATAAAAGCTGGAAGCTGATTGGTTTCTATGCAGAAGTGAACAAGATTCTGAGTGAACCAGCTTTAGTAAATAAACCCCACTGTGTGTAGGTAAAGGGCTCTTTGGATATGTAGTTCTAAGAGTACACATGGGACTGCACAATACTTACAATTCATCTTTTTTATTGGGAAACTATTTCTTTGTAGGTGCACACTGAGTATATCTTGAAACAATACAGTGAAAGGTGTCATTGATGTGGCGCACTTTAGGGGTGCTAGAGAATTCAAATTTAGTTGGGCTCACAGTAGTGAAGTTTGCATGTCTGACTGGGTTACTTTAGGTCAGGCTGGAGGTCTCTACAGGTCAGGTCTTTGGTACCTCCCCCTGGTTCTGGAATCTTCCAGAAGATTCTAGAAGCTAGTTGGTGGATGGGTGGAGACCTGATCTGCATATTCATGAGAGTCTGACCAATCCCAGGTAGGAGGCCTGACAGTGTGGCAGACAGGCCCATAAATTTGAGAGAGCCTAGCCTGCAGCAGGGGTCTGAGAGTCGGATGGAAGATGGATCGCTAAGTTGCTGGCATGAGGCCTGGGAGGAGACCCTGGGGAAGGGGGGCTCTGCCTCCAGGCTGGAGCTGAGGAAGACAGAAGGACAGGAATTTCAGACAGAGGGAACTCTACCACAAGTCCTATCCAGAGGGTACCCTGTTCAGCATTGAAGACTAGCACAGCTACACAGCCTGAACAAGCAGTCTCATGCAATACCACAGGATACAAGGGACTGGGAAAGGGCTTTCAGGTGCAATATCCAGCAAGATCTCCCTGGGACACTGCTAAGGACTGTTCTGGAAAACCCCTGCTCTTGAGTACTCTTCAAGGCAGCAAGGTAGGTGGGTAGTGTCCAGCTGGGGTCTGAAGAGATTCACTTAAAGGGGACTAAGTGCTCTTTAAAGAGACTTTGTAACTGATCTGTTAAGAGACGGAATCCACTCCAGTGGGAGTCCTGGAGGTGTGTCCTCAGAGTTGCTGGCTGTGCAGATGTAGGGGGACCCAAAAACTCAGTGGCTCCTTAGGGGGTAGTGTTACATGTGATTACAAGGGGATCTCTAAGATAGTGATAACATGGCTTTGTTAGCAAACAAAGGGTTAAGGTGAGTGTTAGAGTTGGCTTTGTTTGTCAACATAATCAATCATCACCATGTCTGATATGTGTTTGTTAGAAATGTTCAGGAAAGACAAGATAGTTAATAATTGTAAACTTTGTCTAAACTTCATGTATTTATTGAAAATCTGCCATATATTCTTTGAAAGAAATTGTAAATTCTGTATAAAAAACTGTATACCATGTTGTAATGCTTTGCTTATCTATTGCATAATACACTCATGCACATGGTACTAATAATGTTTTGAATACGTATTTGCATTCTTTTGGGTCCTGATAAGAAAAATTAGCCTGTCTATGTTAAGCCTCTAGTTAGCATAAAAGCACATTTGCAATATTAATCACTTGCCCTCCAGAGGATTTACCCCCCTTCCTGACCAGGCCATTTTTTGTGTTATGGCGCTGCGTTACTGTAACTGACAATTGCGCAATCATGCAATGCTGCACCCAAATTAAATGTATGTAATTTTTATTCCCCACAAATGGAGCTTTCTTTCAGTGGTATTTGATCACCTGTGCATTTTTTATTTTTGCACTATAAACAAAAAAAAATGATAATTTTGAGAACAAAAACAATATTTTTGACTTTTTGCTATAAAGCATGTCCAGTAAGAAAATTTTAAAAATCACATTTCATCATAAATTTAGGCCAAGATGTGTTCTGCTACGTCTTTGCTAAAAAAAAAATCCCAATACGTGTAAATTAATAGGTTTGCCGTAAAGTTATAGCGTCTACTAATGGCGGTATATATACAAAATTTAATTTTTTTTTTACACTAGTAATGCGATCAGTGACTTATTGCGGGACTGCGGAAGGCATTTTGACACTGGGGGGCTAATAAAAAGCACTGACACTGTACTAATGATACTGGGCAGGAAGGGGTTAACATCTGGGGCGATCAAAGGGTTAACTGTGTGGTGTGTGTTTCACTGTGTATGCACACTGCTTTGTAAGGCTCTGCAATGTAGAGCCATACAAAGCAGTGTGCAGGAGCTGACAGGGGAGAGATCTGTATTGTTTACATACAGATCTCTCCCCTGTTAGTGATACTCGGCAATCGCCGGGTGCTGGCGGGGAATCACAAGCCAGGAACCAGTGAGCGACAGCTGAGACAGCCGACAGCAGCGCGGGTAGGGCACGTGCACGCCCCATACCCGGAAAGGCAAAATCACGTATATATATATATATATATATATATATACACACACATATTTATGCTATAGGGTGGCGGGAAAGCGGTTAATGTTATACCTATGTAACCATGTGTATGAGAAACTTTAATTGTGCCACATGAACAAAACAGTGATTTTTTTTCAAGAACACTTTCCATTTTATGTAAAACTTTATACCTAATATATGTAATAAGAAACAAGCTGTGGACAACCTGACTGTTATTCATGCTTACGGTTTCATGTTGAAAAAATCTCTTATCCCTTCCGGAGTGCTGCTAGGACTTTTACTTTTGTTCTTGTCTGCTGTGAATTTATCTTTCGTCCAGGTTAAATGTACTTTCTCTTGAGTGGTGTCTGGTTCCTCTGGAGGAGACTGGGGGGTCGAACCTGTTGCATTTGTATCATGTATTAATTGTACCTGAAAAAAAAAAAAAACTGGAGTTAGCAAAACAAGAAATTTAAAAAAGGACTTTAGCTGGGCAATTGTCCACAGAGGTGCCGTAGAAGGTACCATTTAAAGAAGGGGTGTCAAACTGGCCGCCCTCCAGCTGTTGCAAAACTACAAGTCCCATTATGCCTCTGCCTTTAGGAGTCATGCTCGTAACTGTCAATCATGCAATGCCTCATGGGACTAGTTTGACAATAGCTGGAGGGCCACCAGTTTGACACCCATGATTTAAAGGATAACTAAACCCAAGAACAAAAATGCGATATATTGTAGCTTATAGTCCTTAGATATAATGGCTGCATACGTTTTCTTTTCTTTTTTTTTTCAAGCTAAGAACATTTTCAGCAAATGCAGGAAACACATATTGATGTCTTGTCACTCTGAGCTGAATATCTTTCTTCCTAGCTATCCACTGTAAACCACTATGCCATGCCCTCCATGTAATAGAGTTGAAGAGATACAGTACGAACATGTGTGTAATCCATATCTGAGGAGCAGCTTAGGTGACAACCATGGTCCAGGTCCTCAAAGTGTGTTATTTGCATGAAAAGTAGCTTGAAAAAAGAAAACAAATGCAGTCATCACACTAACGACTACAATAAAATGATGCCAGTGTTACCTCTTCCTCTGCCTTTTCTTCACAATCTCCCACTTGCTCCTCCGGGACACTTAAATGTAACCTGGAGTTTGTTGGGTTCTTCCCGTCGGATTGATCCACGAGACTCATCAGTAATGCTCTGGATCTGTAACAATCACAGGTAAAAGCACAGTAAGTGTTAGTATTAGAATGTGTTTTTCCTTTCCATATATAATATACTTGCAATGTGCCATTGAACTTGCTAGGTAGTTTTACTACTACCACAGCTACAGTTCTTCCTCCCTCCTCCACCATCATAGCCCTCTCCTCTTATGGGACTGTCTAATTACTGTTTATGTTGGTCCAGCTCCGCTGCCCTTCCCCTCCCTACATAACATTTTATGTAGCTGCCGGGTAAGGAAGGAAGGGGAATACTACAGAATGTCACTTGAGTGAGTCTTCTGGGCCTGGTAACATCACATCCAAGATAACATCGGTCAGCACCAGCCTCAGGGCTTTTGGATGTCTACAAAGAGAGGCTTTTAAAGGTAAACATGCATAAAATACATTAAATGTACACATAATCATATGGTAAAATTGTTGCTGAAATTACCAATCTGGCAACAGGGTCTTTTATAAAAATCTACTGCTCAAATTAGCAATTCTGGCATTTTCCCGAACAGATGGTCTGAGAGTATTTTTGAGTTGATGTGAGCTCCTAAGGGGAGCATGGTGTCACTGATTCTAGCTATATTAAACAGAGGTTTATTATATCATTAAGTTTCTTATACCCATTGTGCGACATTTGCAAAATTGCAAAAAAAAAATCATGGCAGTCAGAAACCAGACAGTCTACATTTATACTGTTTTCAAAAATGCAAAATAGAAAAAGCTACAAAATTATGTGTTGTTTATAATAATAAACACTTTACACAAAAAGCACACAGTGGAAAGAATACAGGTAGGATAGGGAGTTGTTTGGTTTTTAGATTGACCAAAGGTTATTCAAGTAGAGAAAAAGATGAATTACAAATAATTGTCTTCATCAAAGTTGGCAAACTTTGTTCATTTACACAATGATAATGTTTCATAGGCCAAAATTCTTTTGAACCTTTATGAAGATATATGTATTAGGACCTCACAGATGTAGCTGCCTGAATCCCATTTCTTTTAGAAAAAGAGCTAATAATCCACAGCAAACCGGTCAAAAGTCATTTTATACCTCTTCACGCCTAAGGGTAAAACAAATCTTAATGCCTAAGCACAATTTTGCAATGTTGACATGTGTTAGTAAAACCGCACATATCATCACAACTACTTTGTAAATCCAGCTGAATTAAACCTTGTTTTTCTCAGGACAAATTGGGCTTTCATTTGGTAATGGTAATGGATATCTCCTGATTTTTTTTTTATTATCAAAGGAAAACTGGCCCAAAATAGTAAAAAAAAAATTTTTTTTTTATTTAGAATTGACGATCGCAGCGATACCATGTGTATGTTATTTGTTGTTTGTACCCATAGTACAGCCTAGAAACAATAGTGCACATTTTGTTTCTGTCTTTTTTTTTTTTTTTTACCTAAAACACACTGACATTGACATTGACACTAACTGACACTGATACCAAATTTATTTTTTAAAATCCTGACCTTTGACCCTGACCTTAACCCAAACACTAACCCTGGCACTGAACTAGATCAAACCTTGATCTAGCTATTTTTTTCTTTAGTTTTTAATATTTATTTATGTATCTTTTTTTTTTTTTTTTTTTACAAACAGTTTTTTCCCCTCTATGCCAGGAGTTAGAGAGATACAATGTATCTCTCTCCTCCATTCATAGAGAAAGAAAAAAACAAGGGGGTCGGGCTGTACACTGACTGATCACTGTGATAGCCAATCAGAGGCTATCACAGCGATCATGTGACCCGGAATCGGGAGTCCCGGGTCCCGATCATTAGAACGGGACCCGGTGCTCTCAGTGACACCGCGGTCTTTGTGCTGGGAGCGCGCCGTTTGGCGCGCTTCCAGTACAAAGACAGGTACGCAAGTATGCAGCCCCACGGAAAAAAGCCCAGTTCTGTGAGGTCGCATATTTGTGTTACGTCGGAGTCAAGGGGTTGATCATGAAAGGCTGGAACATGATGGATTCTTTATGGTTTGCTGTGGATATAGCTTTTTACACATAGTGCCTTGCCCTAGTTTATCAAATATGTATATAATTTACAGATACCCACTTATGTAAATTGGGTGACTAAGACAGGCCATAGATGATGCATTCTTTTTTCGTTCAGCCAGTGGGTTGAACTAAAAAAAAAAAAAAAAAATTCAATTCCCCCATCAACACACTCTGTGTTGCCTACAGGACTATTGTATTCTGATAGCAGGGAGAGTTCTTTGTTGTCACAATACAATGATCAGTGTTGCTGGCTATAGTCGGTGGCACTAATCGAGCAAAAAAAAAAAAAAAAACACAGGCTGGTTGTACAGAAGTTGATCAGGAGATGGACGTCTGATCAACCAGCCTGCCCATAGATGGATTGAAATTAGCTGGTCCCTGCTGAACTGGCCAAATTTTGAGCCCCCCACCTCACCCCCTCGGTCTCTGCCCGAATCACACACCTACTGAGCGACATATCAGATTGGATGTCGCTCCACTTCCTTAAACTGAACCTCTCCAAAACTGAGTTTCTTGTCTTCCCCCCAGCCCGGACCCCACCCCCCATTGACTTCTCCATCACATCCAACAACACCAATATCAAACCCACCCTGCAGGCCAGAGTACTTGGTGTCATTCTGGACTCCAACCTATCCTTCCAGCCCCAAGTCCAATCTTTAACAAACTTGTGCAGACTCCACCTCCGCAACATCGCCAAAATACACACGTTCCTAACCCCAGAAACCACTAAACAGCTCATCCACTCCCTCATCATATCACGACTCGACTACTGCAACTCCCTCCTCACTGGCCTCCCTCGCCGCTGGCTATCCCCTTCAGTCCATCCTGAATACGGCTGCCAGACTCATTCACCTTTCCAACCGCTCCGTTTCCGCCACCCCCCCCTGCCAATCCCTCCACTGGCTTCCGATTGCGCAACGGATCAAATTCAAAATCCTAACACTGACGTACAAAGCTGTCCACCATACTGCCCGAACTACATCACTGACCTAATATCAAAGTACCGCCCAGCACGCACACTCCGCTCCTCACAAGACCTCCTTCCTTCTCTCTAGTTCACTGGTCTCCTCCTCCCATGCCCGCCTCCAGGACTTCTCCAGGGTGTCACCCATCCTCTGGAACTCCCTGCCCCAACCCATCAGATTATCACCTACTCTCCTCTCCTTTAGGCGCACCCTGAAAACCCATCTCTTCAGGGAAGCCTACCCCACCCCCTGCTAACCTGCCGACCTCCTCCACTCTTCCTACCACTCCATCCCCCACAGCTATCTCCTCCTGTGCCACCATCCCCTCCCTCCTAGATTGTAAGCTCCAAAGAGCAGGGCCCTCAATCCCCTCATGTTTTGCATTGTATTGGTATTGTTCTGTCACATGTTCTGTCCCCCTTTGTAATGTACAGCGCTGAGCGAACTATTGGCGCTTTATAAATACTGTATAATAATAATAATATATGGCCAGCTTTAGTTGTGTCTAGCGGTCAGCAAAGTGAAAGCATCAACACCTGCTTTCACAATAGAAACTGATCATTGCTATTGTGAATTGTAAGTAAACACAGCCACACACAAATGGAGGCAACCGTATATAATAAATACATTGGTTATGCTGTACAACTGGAAAAACCTAAGTATTGATAAGTTCACCCCCCCCCTCCCCCCAACAGTAGATCTTTCTTCCCAAGGACCACAAAAAAGTTCCTATGACAGTTGACGTCATTTAGTACGTTTCTTAAAGCAGAGTTCCACTCCCCCTGTCAAAAAATAAAAGTCAGCAGCTACAAAAACTGTAACTGCTGACTTTTAAAAAACAGCCACTTACCTGTCCCTTGGTCCCGCTGTGTGTCCCCCGCAGCCCATTTCACCGGCCATCCTGTATTCCAGGAGGCCGGCATCTTTAGTGTGGGCACCTGGCTGTGATAGCTTGCGGCTTCACAGCCGGGTACCCACTGCGCATGCGCGAGTAGCACTGAGCTTCGTGAATGGTCCTGTAGTCTTCTGGGACCTGTCACTTGTCCCAAAAGACTACAGAGAGGGAGGACACCTTTTGCTTCCGATTGCCTAGGCGATTGGACCGGAAGTGGGAGCGGTTACCTGTCAAATTCGGGTACCCGTCCCCCCCCCCCACCCCCCAAAGGTGCCAATCCTTAATGGGGAACGGGGGAGCAGTCCTTAAAGAGGAACTTCCCCTTTTGGGTGCAGCTCCACTTTAAGTGCCAGGAATTGCTAAACATCACCTGCTTTAGAAACAAAGTGAATTCAATGAGCGTTCTCTTCACCTTAAGTCTTCGTGAACACTGGACATTTTTACAGCTGCAGTTTTTGTCTTTTGGCATTTTATTCTACAGCCAGTAAACTCCCCAGAATGTTATCCTACATGTCCATGCACACATAGGCTTTAATCAGCGTTTTCTGGCTGGAAAAAAACAGAACTAGTGGGTTTCTAGAGGAGTTTTTTAGCTGTAAAAATACTCTAACGCTGAAAAACACAGTAAACGTGGCACACCGGCGATTTTGGGCATTTTTTTAGCAAGAGTCCTCATGCACACTGGATGTTTTCACAGCGGCTGTTTTTTGGCTTGTGTAATTTTTTTCTGCAGCCAGTAAACCCCCCAGCATGTTATCCTATGTGTCCATGCACACATAGACTGTAATCAACATTTTTTGGCAGGGACGTTTTTTTGGCTGGAAAAAAATCACCGAACTAGTGGGTTTCTAGAGGAGTTTTTTAGCTGCAAAAATGCTATAACACTGAAAAACGCTGCAAAATGTGGTAAAACGCTAAAAACCACAAACGCAGAAAAAAGCCGCTAAACACTAATGCAAAATTGCTAAAAAAAAGCTTAAAAACTCACGTTTTTAACATGACTTTACACAACTAACTTTACCAAAACACCCAGTGTGCATGGAGTTTTTTTTGTGTGTAAAAAAATGCTAAAAAATGCTAACGTGGAAAAATGCAGCTAAACGCTAATGCAAAAATGCTAAAAAATGCTGAAAAACTTGCATCTTTAACGACTTTACACAGCTATCGCTACCAGCGTTATTAAAATGCCCAGTATGCATGGAGCTTAAAACCTTACATTTATAATAATAAACTCATTATTATTATAAGCAACTCATTCATTCCCTTATTATATCACGACTTGACTAACTCCCTCCTCATCGGCTTACCTCACCGCAGGCTATCCCCGCTTCAGTCTATCCTGAATTCTGGGGCCAGACTCATCCACCTTACTAACCGCTCCGTATCTGCCACCCCTCTCTGCCAATCCCTCCACTGGCTTCCAATTGCCCAACGGATAAAATTCAAAATGCTAACACTGACGTACAAAGCTGTTCATAATACTGCCCCAAACTACATCACCGACCTGATATCCATCTACCACCCAAAACGTACTCTCCGCTCCTCACAAGACCTCCTACTCTCTAGTTCCCTGGTCTCCTTCTCCTATGCCCATCTCCAGGACTTCTCCAGGGCTTCCTCCATCCTCTGGAACTCCCTACCCCAATTCATCAGACTATCACCTACTCTCCTCACCTTTAGGTGCACTCTGAAAACCTATCTCTTCAGGGAAGCCTACCTCGCTCTCAGCTAATTACCGATCTCCTCCACTCTTCCCCCCACTCCATCCCCCACAGCTATTTCCTCCTGTACCACTATCTCCTCCGTCCTAGATTGTAAGCTCCAAGGAGCAGGGCCCTCAAACCCCTCGTGTATTGAATTGTATTTTTACTGTACTGTCTCGTGTACTGTCTCCCATTATAATGTACAGCGCCGAGCAAACTGCTGGCGCTATATAAATCCTGTATAATAATAATAATAAATCTGATTACTCTCCAGTTGACACGTTACCTCTCTCTCCCGTTCTGTTTTGGTGAGGTGCATTTGCTTCAAGATTTGTGACCTTTGTTCCATCACAAGAGTCTTTTCATAGGTGTATGCAGAAATATCGCTGTCATGCTAAAAAAAAAATTAAAAAAAAACAACATATATGCATGTTAAATAGAGTCTACAACAGTGATAAATATTTTCTGGACTTCAGTTATTTATTTAGGATAGAAAACCTAAAATACATCCTTTTGTTAAAAAAATATATACTGTAATTTATATATGTGAAAACATTTTCTTTTTTTTTTTTGGATTAGTGTGGGGGAGGCTAAACAATATCAGTTTTTGTTATTAATGTCTGGATCCCTGTTTGGGAGATTTTACCTGTATTTCCCTTCCTGGAGACACCCTGCCATACAGTGACCAGATCAAGAAGTGAGGGGATCTTATTATTAAAAAAGCTCTCCCGTCCTTTAGATTGAAAGCTCTATGAGCAGGGCCCTCCTATTCCTTCTGTACTGAACTGTATTATAACTGTAAAAAGAAAGCAGCTATGCCCAGGTATATACCCCTCAGAGGTAGCCTGTCGGTGCTCTGGCTCTGCATGTCCTCCCAACACGGTCAAATCTTGAAAATATTGATTTGAAGAGCCAAATTCTCGTCTTCCCAAATATTCATCTATAGTAAAGCGGGTAAGGTGTACAATACAACTGTTTACGCGTTTCAGCAATAAGCCTTCATCATAGCCCAAGGGTTCACCAGAGTCTGAGTGCTCCAGTTGTAGAAAATCAACCCCCAATCCATGCAATGTGTTGTGTGTGAAATATGTTAAGAAATGCATATCTGATTTTTTTTCTGCAGACCCAATGATGTATAATTGAACTGAGCAATCAATACCTTTCACAGGCTGGATCACAAGTACAAGTTGAAATTTAAAGGCAATTCCAGGTAAACAGCTAATACCCATATAAGTGGTTCATCTGCCTAAGAATATTTTATGTGTTCAGCTGCTTTTGCGATACATACAGACCTCTGCCACACCAGACAGCCAGGAATATGACCTCCTTTTTAGATGTCCTCCATGTTAACTGAGCAAAGATGATGCTGCTGATGCTTTGTATATTGAGCAAACTGGAGGTAGAGTGTGACATAGGAAGCAGCGTTACTGAATTAGGAATAAGTGTATCTTGGAAGCAGGGGTGGACTGAACATTTGGAAACTCAGGCACTGCCTGAGGGCCTGGGGTCAGTAGGGGGCCCCATGAGATGCCCCTGTTACCTTTTTCATAGTCTTTTTTGAGTTTGGGCAAGGACACAGGGACCCCATGATCCCATATTGCCCGGGGGCCCCATGGGTTGTCAGTCCACCCCTGCTTGGAAGTGTGTAAATCACCAAACTTGCTGCACAGAATTACAAATCTTTTGCAGCTAAAATAGTTTCCATATACAGTATGTATTTATTTATTTGCATAAATAATTTTAAAAGCCCTGGACCCTTGTTACCACATAAGTCACCTGGTGGCCCGGTTGGGCCCTGAGGAAGCCCTTAGCAGGTTGAAGTTCTGATGCGACTGCACCTGACTACCCTGTCTGTAGAGGTCTGAAGTACTACTGATGTGATACTGACTCCTCCTAGGAGGGTCTCCTTTTGTGCTATTGTTTGGCTGTTCTCCACTACCTCATTGAAATGTATCAACAGATGTTTCCTTGTTGTGCAGAATACATAGCTGTTGGTTTTTACGTTTCTGCATATGTATACATTCAATCTGTATCCTGATCATGAAAATGTATCTAGCATTGTGTATAAGTTTTCTAATAAAGCTCTTATGGAATTAAAAAAAAAAATCTTTAAAAACTGCTTACCCAAAACCAGCTGATTTTCATGTAAAATACTGCTGCCTAAAAAAATCTTCACAATCTCACATTTCTGGGAGTAAATAATGCATGGTCCCCTACTGCACTAAGTGGTTTGATCCACCTGCCCTTTAGTGTCAAGCATCTGTGATAGTGAGCCCTTGTAGAACGTCAACTCGGGGTTCCCCAGGGTGCAGAGTCTAAGCCCCAGCCGGCTTCTTCACCAGGGCCCCTGATGGTGGGGATGGACTTGCAGCAAGCTGGAATCAGGTCGTGGCCCCTAGGTATGGCCAGCTGATGTTGCGGAGACCGCTGGCATGAGCAGAGCACTATAGCAGGAGACAACAGGAAATCCGATAGACAAGCCGAGGTCATGGTGAGCGGGAAACAAGCACAGTGTTTGGTGGACAAAGCTGGGCACAGTACATGGGTAGTCAGACACAGGATACAGGAGTAGCAACAAACAAGAGCTCAGAGAACTGTGAAGTTGCTCAGGCAATGTGAGCTAGACTGAGCATGTCTTATATAGACAAGAAAACTAGGAGGCGGGTGAGGAAGTGATGGAAGGGAAGGGAAGGAAACAAAACCCACAGAATAGCAGGGGACGCCCATAGGTGACCACAGCCAAACCACACGTGAAAGTATCAGGGTAGGAAAAGCACTGCAGCAAGGAGGTAAGAAAACACAAGAAACTTCAGGCTAACTTGTGACCTTTAGTCATTGCTATGTCCTGTAGAGACGTAGGGGCCGGTGGGAGGAAACACAGCACACAGTGGGGGACCAGGCCTCTGACGCTCATGGAATCGTCAAATTCTGAAGATTTTTCCATTCTAAAAGTGATCGATTAATGTACAGTTGCTGTGACAAACAAAAACTAAGCTCCCTCACCAACAAGAGTCTGCAGTGCTTGTTGGAAAGTTTTTGCAGTGGCTAAGTAAATATAGATGTATAAACATGCTGTATATTAATTCTAGAGATCAAATTGTAACCACTAAGGGAGGTTTATAGTGGGAAAAACAAGCTTCCATTTTTAATGTCAGACTAGGTAAAATATTTATTGGTTAGGGAACAAAACAGTATGTCTACCAATGATGCAAAGAGAAAAAACAGAGAATTTTTGAGTGTCATCTTGCTGCTGCTTTTAAGCAAATCTGCCAAGGATATTGGTTTTTCAAATCTAACTATACCGCAAAAATAAAAGACTCCTTTTTTCTAATAATCATTATTTCCATGTACCCAGAAGGTCCCTAGAATCCATAGGTCCAGCCTATAGCTAAGCTTAATTTCTGCCTATGAGTCCACCTTGAGAGCCTGTATTGTGGGTGAGGCTCCTGATTGGATTGTTCGAGGGTGAGGGCTTGGTTCTAAGGTGGAACAAGAGTTGTGGCCCATGGTATAGCGTGTGACTGGGATCTTGGGAATACTGAATTGTTGCTCAAAATTGATATGGTCCAAAAATATTTACATAGTCTAGCTGAAAAAAAGGCAAAAGTCCATCCAGTTCAACCATTAAAAAAAAAGTTATAATCCTATACACACAGTTGATCCAGAGGAAGGCAAAAAAAAACAGCAATGCATGATCCAATTAGAAACTGCAGCTTGGCATTGCATAACATTATTAAGCTTGTGATCTACCAGAACTCCCAGATCCTTCTCCACCATTGATGCTAGACAAAATAAAGGTGAACAAAGCATCTGGACTGGATGGCATAAAGCCACATGTACTAATTCTAATGATTCTAATTTTTGGGGACTCTTTAATGACTGGCATAGTACTACTGGATTAGCATAAGGCCAATGTGGTGCCTGTATTTTAAAGAAGACCTGGATTCTTTCCTAAATGTACAAAATATAACTGGATACTGATATTTGTAGGTATAGTGGATCCACGGAATATCTGATTGCCTATTGGGGGGATCAGGAAGGATTGTTTTTCCCTCCGATGCAGCAAACTGGATCATGCTTTGTTGAGTTTTTTTTTACTTCCTCTGGATCAATTGTGGGTATAGGATTGTGTATATTGAGGTTTTCTATTTGTGTGTTATTTTTTCTGTGGGATGAACTGGATGTATTAGTGTCTTTTTTCAACCAGTCTAACTATGTAACTAGGTAAATTGGTATGCGGATTATCAAAAGTGTTAGCTTATCTTGACACTTCTGTTTAGATAGTAATACACTTAAATTGTATCACTACATGCACTTCATATTCATTTTTAATGCATCTTAATTTAAATTTTAAAAAAGACAAGGCACAATAGTGACATCCATTAAAAAATGAATATGGTTTTGCATGATATTTTATTTCTATGGGCACTAAATGAATTATGAAACAAGCTGGTAAACTGTCACTTTTCAAGATAATAGTTTTTTAATGTTCCTGGAAAGCATCTACAGCAGTAAAAAGTAAAAAATAGATGTAAAAAGTAAAAATAGATGTAAATAGGCCTGAATTTTGTATTCTGCTTAAAACTGAAGTCTAGACATATAAAAGACACAAATGAATGAAGCCCTGTAATCATTATTAAATCATTAAATTTATCTTTTAAATTGCAGCTAGTGTAAGTACCCAGATGTAATAATGTTAGCTTCTTACAATCCCCTGTATAGCAGCACTCACACTTGGACAGAGAAGAGCAGGAAGAGGTGCCAGTCAGGTGTGCTGTATACAAAAGTCAATGACAAGGAACATGCTGATAGGAGGAGAGAGCAGAGGGGTGCCTTTATTAGTCTGCTGCTGTTTTTTCTCTGTTCAATCAGCAAATTGGAGAAGGAGAGATGTTACCACTGTTATTGTTAACCAGCAAAAGTTGTGATATCCACCTGGCTTTGTGATCTGGCAATCCCTTAAATCTATTTATCTGTTTGCCTAGAGTCCAGCTTTATTAGTCTAAACCAGTGGTTCTCAACCTGTGGGTCGCGACCCCTTTGGGGGTCGAACGACCCTTTCACAGGGGTCGCCTAAGACCATCAGAAAAACATATTTCTGATGTGTAAAGAGCAGCTACTGTGTAGAAAGCAGCTGCTGTGTTGAAAGCAGCTACTCTGTTAAAAGCAGCTACTGTGCTGAAAGCAGCAGTATTGGAGGTTAAACGACACTTCATGAATTATAATTACTGGGTAAATAATGTTATGGTTGAGGGTCACCACAACATGAGGAACTGTATTAAAGGGTCGCAGCATTAGGAAGCTTGAGAACCACTGGTCTAAACCAATGTTTCACAACCTTTTTTTCAGTCAAGGCACCCTTTAAAATTATGGACAGTCCTAAGGCACCCTTTAAAATTATGGACAGCCTGGAGGCACCCATTTGAAAATGGGGTGCCTCCAGACTGTCCATAATTTTAAAAGGGTACTGCACTGTGAAATGTGAAAAACTATTCTAATACTTTTATATAATGCAGCGACATCCACACATGTAGGACACCCAACACTGGAGGTGATTTAATCTTCCAAAGCAAATATACTTTTGCACACTAAGTAGTATTCCAATGTTTCTCTTCACCTTCAGTTTTTCTCCATCACTGAGCTAACATGACCCCAGCACTGATGGAGAGGGGCAGGGGAGGGTCAAACTAGGATGCTGTGCAGACGACCAACATCCTCCTTATAACCTGACGATGTCACTGGTTGTCAGGATGCTGGTGGCTAGAAGGTGGTAATGGTGCACAATGAAAACCTGTGGCTTTGTGTAACTAAAAGGCAGACTTGTTCCAGCTGCTGGCTTGTATACAAAATTTTGGCAATTTTTTGACATTTTGCCAAGGCACCCCTGAAGAAGCCTCAAGGCACCCCAGGATGCCTGGGAACCCTGGTTGAGAAAGGCTGGTCTAAACTTGCTTGAAATACAACATACAAATCTAAATCAACATAACCTGCTATTGGCATCAGGTATATTTTAGATTTGGGCACAAGAAAAGAGTAAGAATCACCATTTCCACCACTTCCACTTCCGCAATAATTCTCAGATGATACAAGAAGGTCGTCAGATCTTTCTTCATCTGGATACTATTATCATCCATTTGAGCCACGGTGAAGATCCTCATTGTGCATCTCTTCCAGACCTTTGTAGAGAGGGCACAAATAATGGTTCACTTGTAGTAAGATTATAGTCTTTTCATTGGTAGCTCTGGGTTATTGTGTTAACAAGTATAATGACTGAATTACGTTTACATTAAATTGCACTCCGGTAATTGTAAGAGAAATGAAGAGCATAATGAAGTAGAATCATGCCTGATTTTTCTCAGCTAACCCACAGTTGTCATTAAGAAAGTGCCAGCAATTATTTATATAACAGAAAATGAGATAATGATCACTATACATGCAGCCTGTGTAAGACTAATGCTGTCCCATTTTCTTTAAAAGGCCCATTGCTTCTTTTGTCAAATCCTGTTACCACCTTGTTTTGTACCTTTTAATATAATCCTAAAGAACAGCTAACTGGCCTTTAAAAAAAAAGGGTATCTTCCTTTAGGTAAAAGTTACAGAAGTCATCCCTGTGGTTGGTTGTTTTATCAAAGTGTAGCAAAACCCCAAAACAAAAAATGTCTAAATAATTATTCTTTTTTTATGACTTTTTTTTCTGGTTACACTTCAAGTCCAGACATTTTTACCCCTTTCCTGTCCAGGCCAATTTTCAGCTTTCATTGCTATTACACTTTGAATGACAATTGCGCAGTCATGCAACATTGTATGATAATATGAATTTTTTTAGCATTTTTGAGACAGATAAAACTTTATTTTGGTGCTATTTATTCACCACTGAGATTTTAATTTGTTTTGCTATATAAATGAAAAAGTCCAAAAATTTTGAAAAAAGGCATTTTTCTTATAAAATTTTGCAAATAAATAATCTTTCTTCATAAATCTTGGCCAAAATTTTTTCAGTTATCTTTTTAGTAAAAAAAAAAACCTCAAATTAGTCTATAACCAAAAATTATAATTTTTCAAAATAATTTTTTGAATTTTAATTTTTTTTATATATTATTGTTTTGTATATTGTTTCTTTTTTAACATACTGTCACCTTAGCAGTACAGTGTCACCATAGTGACACTGTACTACTTGGGGGGGCGTGATGAAGATTTTATTTTTACACTGATTGCTTTTGCACCCATAAAGGCTGTAAAAGCAATAATTTCTCCTTTTCTCTGACTTCATTCTTGCATCCATTGAGAAATACTGTGAGAGCTGTGATTGGTCACAGCTTGTCACATGGTACAAGGCTGTTGTGAATAGTCTTGTACCATGTGACCTCTGTGATCAATCACAGATTTCACTAGTAGTAAGCAATGATGTCAGCAAGTGACATCTTGCTTACTACTATCCATGTGATCACTGATTGGCCAATCAGTGATCACTGATTGGCCAATCAGTGATCACATGATCGGAACCTCACACAGAGCTCCTGTACAGCGATTGGTGTTCCGCGGTGCCGCGCGCTCCCAGGGCTTGTACACGCAGGCGCCGTTTATGAACAGCAACCCATTCCTGCACTGCTCCTGTCCGGCTGTTTATGTACATGTTCTGGACGGGAAGTGGTTATAATAGAACTATAGGTAAAACTTTTTTTTTTCCAATTTTCAATAGAGCAAGGGAGAGCCATAACCCCAGTAAAGTTTATTTTTGTCCCATTGGGATTATTTACTTTCACTTCCTGTCCCATAGCCAACAGGAAGTGCAAAGAAATTCCTGCAAATAAAGGGAATTTCTTGGGGACCCCCAGGTCACCAGAACTAGTGTTCCCATTAGAAGATTTTCACCTCTATTACTTTTCTGGGAACAACCCAAAATTTGGGATTTTCGTTCACTTTCAATGATAATAGTAAAAAGGACAAATAGAGAGGGTGAGATTCATTAATTAATGGGGCACAGACAGCAATAAAATCTGGCAGGGCTTCTAATCCATCTCGACTCTCTCTAAAACTAAAAAATGTTTTGCCTTTAGTTATACATTCATTCATTTTAATCTGGTGATTCTGATAGTAACGAACTTCCTGTCACAGAGTGAAAATGCTCATTCACCATACTGTATCTATAGATGAACAGCATTATTACCCTAGACTGATCTCTTGATTTGAACTACAAACACCAATCCTCTCCATTACATGGGGAAGAGGTGTTTTGTAGTTTACGTATGATAGCTGGTAGGGCTGATAATATTGTTAGAGATTGCAGCTCAGGACACAGAATTTTTGACAAGTTCAACATGTATTTTTTGAGCTTGCAAAAATGTACATAGCCTGAAAAAAAAGAAAACAAATGCATCTACCACATCTAAGGATTAGTAAACTGCAATATGTTACCTTTTTGTGTTGGGTTGAAACTGACTGTCAGCATAATCTGATCAGGGTGAGGACAGCTGATTGATACTCAGGTTCAATCCAGTTCAGGCTCCTTATTTGATTTCATCCTGGGTTTATCACAAAACTGCTGCACAAGGTTGGGTTTGTCCTTGATTTTTTTGCCCTTTTTATCTATGCATTGTATAGGGACCATTTTTCAATTAATTTAAAGTGATATTAAAGGCAATAAAAAATAACAAACATGTTATACTTACCAGCTCTGTGCAGTGGTTTTGCACAGAGCAGCCCTGATCCTCCTCTTCTCAGGTCCCCCGCTGGCACTCCTTGCTCTTCCCTCCTGCCTAGTCCCCCCAGAGCAATCCACTTGCTTTGGGGGCACCCAAGCAGGCTCACTCCCAAGCCGCTGCTCTGCGTGTCTATTCACACACAGAGCCATGGCTCGGCCCCACCCCTCTCTCTCTTCATTGGCTCACTGGCTGTGTTTAACAGCAGTGGAAGCCAATGGCTCCCAGTGCTGTTTCAGCCAATGAGGAGGGAGAGCTTAGGGTCTCGTGCACATTGCTGCATCGCGATCGGCTCAGGTAAGTATTAGGGGGGATTGCTGCACACTGAAGGTTTTTTATCTTCATGCATAGAATGCATGAAGGTATAGAACCTTGAGGCTTTACAACCACTTTAATACCCTGAAGAAGTAGGAGTGCTTTCCCTCAAAACACGATGGCTGTATCTGACATTTTTGATCAATAAATATTTAAATTAACTTCCAAGTGAGATGACCATTTTACTAGGCACTCCCAACCACATATCCAGTACTTTTTTTCATACCCCTTTTTCAGTTCATTGGCTGTAACCCTTGTTGCCCCTTCCTAGCACACCTTACTGTATGTGCTCTCCATAATTTGCCATACCATTGCCTGTGCCACGCAACAGTCAGCAGAACCTTGCTGACTCCATACATGTCAAAAGTGATGCAGTGAAGTTTCTGTGACTTGTCCCTTCTAAACAGTATACAGACTACTCTGTTGATGAGGGAAACCAAGTGATGTACAGCGAGGACAAAAATGTCCAGATTGTTAACAATGGTGACCATATTGGGATGGACCATATCTTGTTTGAGCATGCCTGCCACCAACAATCCAAGATTTTGAAGTTGAATCTTGGAAGTGTGTATAGAAGTCACCAGTTAATTTTAGGCAGCCTACTGTAGAGACAAATTGTTGTTGGTAGAGAAAAAATGGACTTGCCATTCCCTCCCTATCAAAGGATAATAGAAGTAAGAGATGGTACAAGGTTGATCAAGAGGTAACATATAATGATATTCCTATTAATATATTGTATTAAATTTGAGATACTGTGGTATATGGTTTGATCTACTGACACAGGTAAAATTGTTCCCAATGTAATGTTTCCACTACTCATTAGAAAAAAAAAAACATCCTAAAATCTAAAGTATAGTGTAGTTGAATTCAGGTGATGTGATAATTATAGAACGTTGATTGGAGGAACAACCATGAATGATGTAACTTGTCCTTTACAACCATAGGAATATAATGGCAATGCATGCAATCATAATTAAATAAAATGCAGATAAATAGTCTCCTATATAATACAATTATTAGTAATATGATTAGCACTATTACATCCATCTACTGATAATTACCTTATGGTGACGTAAGAGGAATGGCAAAAGCATTAGCATGCCTCCATCATGGACAACCCACCAAACATCAATATTGCCTTCAGAAAATCTCTCTTGATTTCCTGGAAACATGCTAACATTTTTGGTAACGATCAAAGCCAGGTGAGCTGCAGTTGTTTCTCTTACAAGCTCTGTAACAAATAAAAAGGAGCAGAGGGAGGTTTTGGCATCAAATCCACATTTTAGGAAATTGTAATGCATAAAAGGTAAAAACTCTATACCAATGAAGTTTCTCCAAGTCTGGTGATCTTCTTTTTGCCTCCAATTCCGTGGCCATCCAACAAGGACAGTATTATGCTGTAGCCCTCCAAGTCCACTGGACTGAATCAGATGAGAAATACCATCCCGAATGTTTGAAGAAGTGACTACTTGACAAAACCCCTTTACCTTCTCAGCTTCCATGAGACGCCTTATTGACTGGTTTGATAAAAAGTGAAATGGAAAATTAGAACACCGTTATAAATCCCAGCCCCAGCCAAAATATATATTTGTTTAAAATGGAATGAGTTAGCATTGCAATGTTTTTCCACTTGTATTTCTGTCTTCCCTATTTGGGAGAATTCTTCTTACTTTTTGTGTATTTGACCTGTGTCAGTAAAACACAAAATTAAAAATAAGCTTCGCATATCCTATTTGGTGGGTGTTAGATATAATAGGCAGTGAGGGAATTTGATTTCTAATACCGTTCCTAGGTTTTAAGCTTTTATGAATCTATCCATAATGCACGGAAATTTTGGATGGAGTTGGGTTTTACACTAGCCAGCAAGGTATGTACTGAATACTATGAAATGCATCTTACTTCTTCAGCACGCTGAGCCTGTGGATGATTCTCCAAATAGGTTCCTTCTAACACTGAGCCAACAATAGTCAGACCTTTGCCTGCTTTCAGCTGAGAGGTCAAGGAAAGAAGTTGTGGGTGAACGACGTTTTGATCCTGATCCACACGGACCAGAACAAGCAACTGAGGTCTACAAAGAAGAAGGAGATACCAACTATTAAAATTTCATCCCAAGTGACATTTTTTATTTTTTTCTTAGGATGATTTACAGAAAAACATCAAAGTGGGTAGGCTGCCTACACATACCTCCAGTTTTTGGTGTGTGGGGGACCCTCTTCCAACCTTAGAAGAGCATATCGAGCAGCACTAAGTGACAGGCCACGAATTCCATCTCCCCATTCCTTCTCAGCCCTGCACACACAAATATCATGTAAAAATAATTTTGTTGCCTTCCTCTACTAAAGACACACATAATATTTCACCATTAAACAAGGAGATGGGTATGCTTTGTAGACGCCCTTTAAAGGAAACATGAATGGAAGTTATAAAAAGGACTCACTGTGCTCAACCCAGCCGGACCCTATATCTGTGTGCAATAAGCGGTGTTGCTGTAGAGGCTACTGTATGCATGCGTCTAAAGAGTAAATACTGGCACTCGCCCTGGGCTTGTAAATCTTCTTTATTAAACTGCTGGATAAAAGTCACACATGCATCAGTGCTACTGCACTAGCATTGTTGCATCTGTGACTTTTATTCAGGAGTTTAATAAAGAAGATTTACAAGCCCAGGACGAGTGCCAGTATTTACTCTTTAGAGGAATGGTAGTTAGATGGATATGTTGGAGGGCTTTACATAATTCTTCTAAAGTGCATCTGCCTTGGAATATTGGTGCTCAGAGTCATATGTTGCTATATTCAACATTTTTAAATCCTTAAAGGGTAACTTCACTTTCGTGGGAAAAAAATAAAGCAAATAAAAAAATATAACATATCCGATTACGACACAAGCCACATTGTACTTGAATGCTAATAAAATGACCTTTCCTATTCAGTCTGCAGTGCTGTAATTTTCTGTACTGCAAGATGGCATCCTAAAGGCGTTCTCTACACAGTTGGGGGTATGGAATGCTCCCAGAGATGTCATTTACTGCTTATGCGATTGGCTGACTGATTTTCCAAGAAATTTGCACTAAGATGCAAATCAGATTTTAGGCATCCTCTCCAACCAAAATGTGATTTTTGGTGAGATGCTCCTAAACACTTAATCACTTCTAAAGGCATGCAGGTGCTGCAGCTTTCCTCATTAGAGCCCTGTACATGCATACGCTGATCAATAAGGCAAAAAATTCACTCTTGGTCAGAATTAGTATCCAAAAGACATAAAAGAACCAGCAGCTATTTCTTCAGAGGAGAAAGGAGTAGGAAACTGCAAAAAAGTTTGTTAAAATCCTTGCAATGTACATTGGGCATCTGGTGGAGTTACCCTTTACTTAGATCTAAAATCTGTTCTTGTTTGAAGTGCAAACAATTGCTGAAACCATTGTGATGAACCTGTCATAAATGTATGGAAACAGTCCAGCCACAAGCATAAATTCAGCAACTTCAAACAAAAATGGAATAAACCTGTATATAAGTAAATCAACTGGGTTTTTTTTCCGGGTTGAGGTCTGATCTTGTCAAATGTAGTCATCTTTCCCAATTTTTGAACCATAACCCAGTATGTTACAAAGGTTACGCTGCATATCGATGATGTATTTACATGCAAAACTTTAATCGGCTGAGCTTCAACACATAGTCTTGCCCCCAGAACAGTGGTGTATTTAGGTTTCATGCTGCCCTAGGCAACACAAAAATCAGCTGCCCACCTAGGAAAGACCCTGACACTGACAAACACCCCCCTCCCCCACGATAAGAGCCTGACATTGACCAACAACACCCCCCCACCCAAGAGAGCCTTCCACTACCACAGCCCCCCATACATTGGCAATCCCCCTACCCTGTGAGATAGAAGACACTCACCTTCACAGCTCCGGACATCCCCGGGAACAAGAGTCAGGCTCTACATACACCATCTAGCAGCCCGCAGCCTCTCTCAGATCCCACCTGGTCCCCATGCTACATGTGTCCTTTCTTCCATCCCTTCTTTTGGGGGGCAGCACAGCCCCCCTGAAAAATGCTGCTGCCCCCCTGAAAAAATGCCACCCTAGGCAAATGCCTTGTTTGCCTTGTGGTAAATACACCCCTGCCCCAGAACCACTCCTCTTTACATAACTGCCACAAAGTTAACATTATATGTACAGTGTATGTGTGTAATTGGTTTATATATACTCACCCTCGGTACTCAATGTACTTGTAGATAAGACCAGCAATCAACATAGCCACCAGAGCATAATACCAAGAGCAGATAAACATGAGAGAAAGGCAAAGACTCATACCAAGGAAAGACAGGGTCCTGTAAAAGAGAAAGGCAGGGAACTTGGTCCAAAGAACAAGAGAACATCTTTGATTCTCCAAATGTTGGAAAAAAAATCTTTGACGTAAGCCCACTGGCTTCAGTTAGCCATTTATATAGACAGCTGGGTGTGGAGGTCTCTAAATTTAGGGTTATATCGAATAAAAATAAAAACTATTTTTATTCAGTACAGTTGGCCTTCACTCACCAGTGATAATATTTGAAGCGAGGCCTCCAGTTCGGAGTCCTGAGCAATGTCTGAACTGCACAGGCCAAGTTAACAAACATGTAACACATCAAGAAAAACCTGTAGTTATAGGAAAGAAGAAAAAGAAACAGAAGCTAGAAAATTAGGGGAAAGAAGATGTTAAAGAAGAAGCCAAGATGAGTTGAGTAAGTATGGAAAGAAAAAGAGACGTGCTAAAACTGAGACCAAAGATACAGGAGACATACATGGAAAGAATAGGTGCAACTTCATCCAGTGATGCAATGAGGATGCCAATTTCACAGATACAAGCGGTCAGTAAGAGAGCCCACGTAGGTTCTCCATTAGCCTTGCCATGGCCAAACACCTGTGTAAATAGAGGGAAAAAAATTTACCTTACTATAATGCTCATAATGGAATAAAGCGCATTAATATTCCAGTAGACAAGGGGTCTATTTATAGAAGTTTTCAAACAATTTCCACCCAGGATTCACAAATTTCCTAATGGAATCCAATTGTAAAGATGTATGGCTCCTTGCTGAAAGCGTTTATGCATTCAAATCATTACGAATCTTTTTTGTTTGGAAATCATAATGAACATTTGTATTGCTGCTGTGATTGGAGGTTACTTGGGTGCCAACATCCCAGAAATAGTCTTTCCAACAAAATTGTATCATGGGTGTATGGCCCCTTTCATACGGACGTTCCGATCGGGTCTGCCTGTCTGTTTTTCACGCGGACCCAACCAAAACCTCTATTCTCCTGGACATGTGTCTGTTTACACCCACCAACATCCTTCAATCGGTCAGATTGGATCGGATAGAAATGGACGGGCGGTCCGTCTACATCAGCTTGCCCATAGATGACAGTGGGCTGTGTCTGTGTCCGCTCTGCATAAGTGGAGTGGACACGGACCTGGCAACTGCTTGCTCAGTGGGGATCAGCAGACATATCACTATATAAATCCTGTATAATAATAATTTAAGCAAGTTATCATGAATTTCTTTCATTTATGAACACCTTGCTAACTGTTGTGATGATGTGATTGGCCCACAGCTATCACATGGTACCTGGCACCCTGTAGCTGTAGCCAGTCACAGCATATCAACAGTAAGCAGGCTGTCATGAGTGGAAAGCCATTCATGATAGTTAACTGTTGCTTATAACAGTGATCATTACGGTTATAAGGAATAAAAGTGTAAAAATAATCCCTGATCACCCCCCCAGAGTAGTACAGTGTCACTATGGTGACACTTTTTCAGCTGAAAATATGTAAACCCCCCCCCCCCCCCCCAAAAAACAATGTTTAAAACATTTAATAAAATTCTTTTTTAATTTACATACTGTCACCAGTCAGTATTCCGATCACCACCACACCAGTCATATCGTGACACTATACTGCACTGGTGACAGTATAATAAAAAAATATGTGAAAAAAAACAAATTTTATCCAATCTCTTAATTTTCAAAAACAATTTGACAAAAAAATTACAACTTAAAAAAAATGCACCATGCCTCTTACTAAATACCTTGCAATGTCTACTTTCCAAAAATGGATCATTTTGGGGGTATATGTACTGTCCTGGCATTTTGGGGCCTCAAGAAATGAGATTGATCAATTTTCAAATACATATACTATAGTGTGTAGACTACTTTAGATTGCAGTGGGCAAAGATAATATTACAACAAAATAGGAAAAAAATCAGCACAAAATGAAACCATTTCAACCAGTTTAAAATATTATATTCTTTCTGCCTTTATTTTTTTTTTTTCCTGCAATCTGACCTCATTGAACAATCTGAAATTGTATTTTTATCACTTTTTGTACTCCTGTTGGACAACTGTGACTTACTCTGAGGAAAGGCACAATGCCATCTCGAGATATGGCCTGCAAGAGTCGTGGTGCTCCTGTTAAGCTTTGTAAACCAGCTCCACATGTAGAAAAGAAAGACCCAATCACAATGACCCAAGGTGATGGCCAGGACAGTGTTCCCACTACTAAATTCCCATTAACAGCTTCTCCAAACCTGCAAGAGAAAGTCAGATTAAATTCTGCACACAAAGATACACATTAAAGTATAACATTTTTCTATCATCAAATCTCTAGGACAAGGAACTGATCATATTTGAAAACCCTTTTTCTGTGTTAATTAAACCAGCAAATAAAATGAAACAAAACAATGCAGCTGCACCCACACAAGTAGGACACCCAATGTTAGAGGTGATTTATTCAAAGCAAATACAGCTTTGCACATTGGTACTGACTAGTATTCTAGACTATTTATTTTTCCTCAATTGCACTCACTCAGCTAATATGACCCCAGGATGAGGAGAGGGTCAACCAAGGATGCTGTGCAAGCGCCCAATGCCTCTGTTAACGTAATTTTCGGTTTCCGAATGAAAATCCATTCAAAATAATGCCTCGGTTTACAATTTTTTTTCGCTATACGACCGGATTAATTGGTTTTGAATGCATTTACGAATTTTTTTTTAATCACGTCCCTGTACAGTACTATGCCTTTAAAGTGCACTTTATAAAGAGTTTTGAACAGATAAGACTTTTGCTGACTTTTTTCTGACTTCCAGAACGAATTAATTGGTTTTCAATGCATTTATGAATTAATTTTTAATCATGTCCCTGTACAGTATTTATGCTTTTAAAGTGCACTTTATAAAGAGTTTTGAACAGATAAAATACTTTTTTTTTTTACTTTTTTCTGACCTCCGGAACGGATTAATTAGTTTTCAGTGCATTTACGAATTAATTTTTAATCATGTCCCTGTACAGTATTTATGCCTTTAAAGTGCACTTTATAAAGAGTTTTGAACAGATAAAAGACTTTTTTCTGACCTCCGGAACAGATTAATTGGTTTTCAATGCATTCCTATGATAAATCGTGTTTCGGTTTACAAACTTTTTGCAATACAAAAAGTCCCGCAAAACTAATTAAATTCGTAAGGTACGCCTGTATACCGTTTTTGGGCAATTTTTAGAAATTTTGCTAAGGCATCCCTGAAGAAACCTGTAGGCCCCTTGGTTGAAAAAGGCCGATCTAGAAAACTAAAGATGAGGCAACAGAAGAAATGGAAAAGTATGATGTAAACTGTTCATAATAATGCCCTGCCTTACAGCACACACTACAACATGTATGCTATTACCTTTCTAGCCTACAAAACATCTTCTGTTCTCCTCTCCATTCCAGAGCGGCAGGATTTTTCTGACTTCATAACTTAACCTAACTGCCATTCCAGTCTATCTTAGGGGCCAAAAAGGGCAATCTGTTTGGCCAAAAATCAATGTTACAGCTTGCTACAGTAATCAATGATACATGAAATGTAATTAATTTGTTACATGGCAGTAAGTTGCATCTGTGTCAAATAGATAACAGGTTTTTCCAGTCATTTGCTCTGCAACTTCTTCTGCAGCAAACCTGCAAAGTGTTTGTTTTATAAAAATCTATTCTATCCCAGGAATGGTGGAATTGTCCTAGAACCTGTAAATACTAGATAGAATATTGAACCCAATCTTGAAAGTTCCTACACACCCTCAATTTATGTTTTTTAATGATCCAATCCAGGATATACCCAGACACTTCCAAATAATAATTTAGTTATACTCTTAGCGGTTAAAATTATGATAGCAAGGGCATGGAAAACCCCATCTGCTTCCTTATCCTTAACTAAAACCAAAAGTTCCTGGATTATGAGAAACCAGCCAGCAACACTGATCAACAACACCACTTTGAGAAAGTCTGGAACCTGTACATCAAATACGTTAGCACTTAATTCTATCATTGATGGTCAAATATGTACGACATGATCGTAATGTATATGTTACTTTTAATATTGAAATATTGAAAGTAAAACAATTCTATTGTATTTTACCTGATTAGGCTAAGTTAACTAATTACTGCAATTACTATAAATTTCCCCCAGAGGTGGTTTTGAATGGGAGTGGGGTGGGTTGTAGCATTCTTTAGTAGATAGTTCCCCTAAACTAAAAAGTGCAGGAATTTGGCACTGGTGGATCCATTTAATGTGTGCAACACCCTTTAGTGTGCTACTAGAATAGAATAGTGAATTACAGGTAAAATTATTGTGAATGACACATGGTAATTGTGTGAGTCTGTGATTACAGGTCAGCTGGATGACTCAACAGGTTGTGGCTCTATCACCTCCTCCTAACTCTGGAGGACAATGGAACCTTGCAGACGTCGGTAAGCAGGAAGGGTTGGAGACCTAATCTTCATGTTCATGGGAGTCCGGCTAATCCCAAGTTTCAAGGCCCTGGCAGAGTGATGGACTGGCCAATCCATATGGGAGAGTCAGGCTGCCAGAGAAGTCGGGTGGAAGATGGAGTGCTGAGAAGACTGTCAGTGCATGGGAGGGGTCCCCTAGGTCTAAGGAAGGGGGGGGCGACCTCCAGGCTGGGCTCGGGAGGATGCATTCAGCAGTAAGGTATGAATGGGATCAAGACCTGGAGCAGCAGGGAGCAAAGAGAACAGTGTGAGTACAGCGGCACTCTCTGGCATCTACAAGGGAAAAGACTCCCACATGTAGCAAGCTTTCTAAAGATAGCGCTGGGCTCAATCCTTTATCCTTGTCCCGGGAGATCTTCCAAGAAGCCAGGAGGGCTGGTCGTGCTTACAGGCTGTGGAGCTGGAAGCAGCTCTACAGGGGGAGAGAAGACATCTCTCCATGTAGCTACGAGAAGTAAAAGCTAACTTTTGAGGGGCTGCTAGTACCTCGCCCATAAAGGGCAGCTGCTACTGATCCGCTACTACGACTGATGGCTTTCAGGAAAAGAACAGTCCAGGATCTGCCTTTGTACATAGGAAGGAAGTGTCCCCTTTTCATTGAATCAAGCCAAACTGGGCATCCCATAATCCCTATCCAAGTTGATTTCCCCTAATAAAATAACAAAACCAACTGGTCATTGTCTTTGGGTGCAAATCTGTATGAGAAATACCTGTTGCCTGGCTGTTCGTAGAGAGGCTTAGGGATACTCACTACACAGCGGCCCTCACGAGGGTAGCGCTACATGTGTATGCATGGAATTATTATTTTCACAATCTGTTATTAGTAATAGGGCTGTTTAGTTGTCTCAGGTCCAGTTTAACTTTTTGAAGGCGGTCTTAAAGCACACTTTAGGCTCCTGTATGACAATCTAAATACATTGCTCCAAAAAATTAAAGGAACACTTTGAAAACACATCAGATATCAATAGGGGAAAATATATCATGCTGGATACCTATACTGATATGGACTGGGTAATGTGTTAGGAACATAAAGATTCCCCATCGTTTGATAGGAATGAAAATTATCAACCTACAGAGGAGTGAATTCAAAGACACCCCGAAAATCAAAGTGAAAAATGATGCAGCTGTCTAGTCCATTTTGCTGAAATTTCATTGAAATTTCTATTCAAAATGGTACTCAGTAGCTTGCATGACCCCCACGTGCTTGTATGCATGCCTGACACAACGTCGGGGCACGCTCCTAATGAGATGATGGATGATGTCCTGGGGTATTTCCTCCCAGATCTAGACCAAGGTATCACTGAGCTCCTGGACAGTCTGAAATGCAACCTGGTGGCGTCAGATCCCGAAACATGATATCCCAGAGGTGTTCTATTGGATTTAGTTCAGGTGAACAAGGAGGCCATTCAATGGTATCAATTCATTCATCCTCCAGGAACTGCCTGCATACTCTCGCCACATGAGGCCAGGCATGGCAGTCTGGGTGCCATTGTCTAGCCTGTAGAGGTCTGTGTGTCCCTCCATGGATATGCTTCCCCAGACCATCACTGACCCACCACCAAAACAGTCATGCTGAATGATGTTACAGGCGGCATAAAATTCTCCACGGCTTCTCCAGACCCTTTCACGCCTGTCACATGTACTCAGGATGAACCTGCTCTCATCTGTGAAAAGCACAGAGCGCCAGTGGCGGATCTGCCAATTCTGGTGTTCAATGGAACCCTCATGAAGTCTGTTTCTGATTGTTGGGTCATAGACATTCACACCAGTGGCCTGCTGGAGGTCATTTTGTAGGGCTCTGGCTGTGCTCATCCTGTTCCTCCTTGCACAAAGGAGCAGATAACGGTCCTGCTGATGGGTTTCTTTATCTTCCCTGTCTGAGCCATATCCTCCCTCATTTGTGTGTCACACGCTACTCCTCCCTGGCACTGCAGCTCACTGTGGGAGGATTTAGCAGAGGCAGTGGGCAGGAGTAGGTGTGGCCAGATGTTGATTGACAAGCTACAGGCTTGAGAATTAGCATTGACAATGCTGTTACTAACACCCCCTGCAACATCTTCTCTTCCAGTTTCAGTGCAAGCAGACACAGCCTCCATGAGAGTGGTAACTCTGCTCAGAAGTCAAGAGAAGTGCACACAAATGCGAATAAAGCTTTAGAATACTCACTTGTCTCTTAAAACAACCCCTTCGATACATGCGCCAAACAGAATAACAGAGGAAATATCTCTGTACACTTGTAAAGGAGAAATTTCCATCATTTTAAATGTGGTTGTAAATGTTACATATTGGCTTTCATATGTTTTGTCAGAAGGATATGATGTATTTCAGGAGGTCATTTTGTGACAATGCAGGCAAGGGAAAAGAAGGGTTATGGGTGTCTTTACAAATTAAATCTTAAAGAGATTCATTTTTTTTAATTTAAATAACAAACATGTTATGCTTAACTGCTCTATGAAATGGTATTGCACAGAGTGGCCCCGAACCTCCTCTTCTGGGGTCCCCCGCTGGTGCTGTCTGCTCCTCTTTTTTAGTGCCTGCCCCCATAGAAAGCACTTGCTATGTGGGCAGACTTGCAGGCTTTATCCCGAGCCAAGCTGTGTGTGTCTATGTTGCAAAAAGAAAAGAAAATCGCTTGATTCCCCCATCAGAGCAGTCGATTGTGATGGGGGAATCCCTCCTTCGGAGCCATTGTGTTCTCCTGGTGGGGGGAGCCATCTCTGCAGGGAGGGAGAACACAGCTGCCTGCTCCTCTTTTTTAGTGCCTGCCCCCATAGCAAACGCTTGCTATGTGGGCAGACTTGCAGGCTCTATCCCGAGCCAAGCTCTGTGTGTCTATGTTGCAAAAAGAAAAAAAAATTGCTTGATTCCAAATCACAACAGTCGATTGTGATGGGGGAATCCCGCCATTGTGTTCTCCTGGTGGGGGGAGCCATCCCTGCAGGGAGAACACAATGATTACTGTTAGTGGCTATAAAAGCCGCTAGCGATAATCGCATGTAAAATCTGGCAGGCTGGTTGTACCCAAGTTGATCGATCGATCAACTTGGGTACATTCAGCCTGCCCATACGTGGTTCGAATCTCAGCTGGTCCCTGCTGAACCTGTCGAGATTCTAACAATCTATGGCTGGCCTAACTAGTGAATTCTTGGAACAGACTTCCAGCAGAGGTAGTGAATTAATCAACAATAGGTGAATGTAAACATGCTTGAGATAAACACAGGTCAATCCTTGCAGACTCATTGATTCGTTATCTAAATAATTTCATTTAAGTAAATTGGTTTTCGGAATTTGTCTCGTTTTCTCTTTCGATTCGATTCAATACAAATTTAATTCGACTGAAGTTGGAAAATTTGAATTGACATTCGAATTTGAATTTATTCTATTTGAAATTTACATTTCAGAAGACGGTTATATGCTTTCTATTCTATTCTAGTTTGTTTTTTCTATTCTATTCTATTTTTTTCTGTTCTATTCTCTTATATTGTATTCTTTATTATTTTATTATTTTCTAATCTATTCATATTCCAATTTATTCTATTCGAAATTTTAATTTCAGAAGACAGTTATATTATTATTATTATTATACAGGATTTATATAGCGCCAACAGTTTGCACAGGGCTTTACAAAATGAATATTCTTTTTATTCTATTCTTTTAAATTCTATTCTATTCTTTTCTATTCTACTCTTTTCTAATCTATTCTATTCAGATTTATTTTATTCAAAATTCGATCTCAGAAGACAGGTATATTCTATTTTATTCCTTTTTTCTGTTCTATTCTAATATTTTTTTTATTCTATTCTATTCTATTCTTTTCCATTCTGTTCAAATATATTCTATTTTTTAATATTGTATTATTATTTTCTGTTCTATTGTTTTTTCTATTCTATGCTATTCTATTCTTTTATTTTCTATTCTATTTTAATCTATTCTATTTGTTTATGCTCTATTCTATTATTTTCGTATTCAAATTTGAGTCAGATTCTATTCAAATTTTGTTCGCATTTCATTTAGTTATTTTGGATTCATTGCAATTGTAGTTTGGATATTCGGATACATCTGAATCTCCAGTAAAGAAAAAATCATCCGAATTTTGATTCAGAACGAAACGAACCGCAGATATCTACATTGAACCTCTTTGTCCTTTTTCTGCCATCACTCTTCTATGTTTTCATTCACAGATTGACGATCTATGAAATGATTATTAATAATCATCAGAATTTCACCTACTCCCAGTCTGCAGTTGTATACATTTCTGATCTGTTGATCTACACCAGGGGTCTCCAACTTTTTAAACAAAGAGCCAGTTGACTGTCCTTTAGGGGGTCCGAACTTTGGCCAGTGTGAGTAGAAAATGTCCTATCATCAGTGGGAGTAAACACTGCTCCACCATTGATTTTAACAGGAGGAATATTGCCCCATTGTTGGCCTTAGCAGGAGGAATAATGAACCATGGTTGGTATCAATTGGAGGCATGGTGACCCATTGATGGTGTCAGTGGGAGAAATAGTGCCCAATCATTGGTCTTAGCAGGAAGAATAGTGCCCCATCGATGGTGTCAGTGGGAGAAATAGTGCCCCATAATTGGTCTTAGCAGGAAGAATAGTGCCCCATCGATGGTGTCAGTGGGAGAAATAGTGCCCCATAATTGGTCTTAGCAGGAAGAATAGTGCCCCATCGATGGTGTCAGTGGGAGAAATAGTGCCCCATCATTGGTCTTAGCAGGAAGAATAGTGCCCCATCGATGGTGTTAGTGGGAGAAATAGTGCCCCATCATTGGTCTTAGCAGGAAGAATAGTGCCCCATCGATGGAGTCAGTGGGAGAAATAGTGCCCCATCATTGGTCTTAGCAGGAAGAATAGTGCCCCATCGATGGTGTCAGTGGGAGAAATAGTGCCCCATCATTGGTCTTAGCAGGAAGAATAGTGCCCCATCGATGGAGTCAGTGGGAGAAATAGTGCCCCATAATTGGTCTTAGCAGGAAGAATAGTGCCCCATCGATGGTGTCAGTGGGAGAAATAGTGCCCCGTCATTGGTCTTAGCAGGAAGAATAGTGCCCCATCGATGGTGTCAGTGGGAGAAATAGTGCCCCATCATTGATCTTAGCAGGAAGAATAGTGCCCCATGGATGGTATCAGTGGGAAAAAGAGTGTCCCTTTAATGGTGAATGTGGGAGGAATGGTGCGTCATCATTGATGGCAGTTGGAAAAATAGTGCCTCAAATGCCGGATAGAGGCAAGCAAAGGGCCGCATCTGGCCTCCGGGCCACAGTACGGAGACCACATATCTACACTGACATGCCATGTGCTTTACAGTGACCTCCATTCATCAAGGAAACAGTGTGTTGACAGCTATCAAAGTCAACACAGGTCAACAGTTGTGAAGGTGTTACATCTTGCTAACATGTAGTTCTATACAGCAATCATGCATTATATAACTATTAGTCGAGGATTATTTGTACCCAGGGGCGGACTGACAACTCATGGGGCCCCTGGGCAATAGGGGATCATGGGGCCCCTGTGTCCTTGCCCAAACTCAAAAAAGCCTATGAAAAAGGTACCAGGGGCATCTCATGGGGCCCCCTACTGACCACGGGCCCTCGGGCAGTGCTCGAGTTTCCAAATGGTCAGTCCGCCCCTGTTTGTACCATAAGCCCTGAGTTGTTTTCAGTACACGAGGCCCGTTAGAGTGGATCATGCATAAGGGTCAGTCTACACAATCATGGTTTGCTTCTGATATGCATTTCTATAGGATTTGGAAGGCAATGTTCGAATGTTGAATTGGATCTTATGCAGCCGTGCCAAACAATGATGGCAGCTAATATGCAAACAATGCTTCCAAGTACCAGCAGTGTGCATATGTTTTGTGTATTGTTGTTTGATCATCTTGAAGTATGGTGGATTAAAAAAAAAAAAAAGAGGAGAGTTTATATTCACGTGTCCGGTACCCTTTCTTGCAATCTTTGCTGTTACAGTGCTACAGCCCTGGAATATTCTTTAAAGTTGACACTTCTGGGAGCACATTTCCTACTGCTTGCTGTGGTTCCTTCCTTTGACCCCTGCTGTGATCTGTAATGACTTAAGCTGGCCATACATGAAATTTGGCCGGTTCAGCATTTTGATCCATGTATGGGCACACATTGATCAACTTGTGTACAACCAGCCTTGAATGATTAGTGCCAATATAGCTCCCCAACAGCAGAAAACCATAGTGCCGCAGGGGGCATTCCCCCATCAACACTGACTATGTGGATTGGGGAATCAAGCGAATTTCTCTCCTTCCTCCTGTCCTTTATGGTCTGCCCTAGGGGCTGGAGGAAGGAATCACAGAAATCCACAAGGGACCAGTCATCTTATACAACCAAAAGTTTGGCAAATGTAAAAAGGCCCGTGCTCTGCAAGAGATCGATGATCAGTGGAACAGGCCAACCCACACGGAAGAAAAATATATTTTAAAAATATTCTTCCCAAATATATTGCAATATATTTGCAAAAAAATATACAATTTTTTAAAATATATTCTTCAGATGTTTTTTAACATATAAAAAAGTAATTTTAACATATATTTTTACCTATATTTGTAAATGCATTCTAAAAATGTGGACTTTTATTTTTAAAGACATACAGTATATTTGAAATTTTTAAAAATATTTTTTATACATTTTGTAATAAAAACACATTTCAAAATGCAGTATATATATATATATATATATATATATATATATATATATATATATATATATTGAAATATATTGAATACGGCCAAAATTGTAGTATTTAAAATATATGGCAATATATTTGGGAAGAATATTTTTTAAATACATACAGTATATTTGAAATGTATTTTTAAAAATATTTTTTATATATTTTGTAATAAAAACGCATTTCAACATGCAGTATATATATATATATATATATATATATATATATATATATATATTATTTATTGAAATATATTTTAAATATATTGAATTTGGCCAAAGTTGCAGTATTTCAAATATATGGCAATATATTTGGGAAGAATATTTTTTAAATATATTTCAAATATATTTTTCTTCCATATGGAAAGGGACAGGTGATTATAACTCTTCTTATCTTACAGGTAGGGGTCCTAGTTTTTTTTTTTTAATGGTATATTTAAAGGAAGTACGGTATACAAAAACAAACCTCTGCCATATGGTCAAAATATTTGCCTGATATTTTTTGCCACTTTAGAGGGCATTATATATTCAAGACATTTCAAGGCGATTTCCAAGCAAGATATCAAGGAAGTTCTATTAATTATACTCTGTATATTTGGTTTGTGATGAACATTTGCTGTTTTATGTTGATGGCATGGACAGGATATAGCCAGAGGGATTCTAAAACTTGGTGGAAGTGTATGTGATCTTGGTCAGATTATGACATCCGTGTGAGAAATGTCTACAATCATAGCCAAAAATATTGGCACCCCTGCATTTCTGTCAGATAATGTCCCACTTTGCCCAGACAAATGTTGCAATTACAAATGTTTAGGCAATCTTATGTTTATTTCTTTTGTTTGTATTGGTATGCCAATAAAATGGTGGAGAAACAAAAAGCCAAATCTGACACATTCCACACAAAACCCCAAAAATGGACTGGACAAAATTTTTGGCACCCTCTTTTTAATATTTGGTAGCATTCCCCTTGGAAAAAATAACAAACTTGGAATGCAATTATTTCTTACAATATTGAGGTGACAATAATTTTGTCCAGTCCATTTTTGGGGTTCTGCGTGGAATGTGTCAGATTTGGCTTTTTGTTTCTCCACTTTTTTGTGTCATATCAATACAAACAATAGAAATAAACATGAGAATGTATAATCATTTGTGATTGCAACAATTTTCTGGGCAAAGTGGTGTATTATCTGACAGAAATGCCGGGGGGACAAGACTTTTGACCATGACTGTATATGCTACTGACTTTAAAAGGGTATACAGTATGTAAAGATTATCTACAAACTGCATTTGGACACATACTAAGTGAAGTCTTTGTTGGCCATGGCAATGGTATTCTACATGATTTCAATGACTACCTTTCTATGTGACAATACTTAGAACTAACTGCCCTATCAGGACAACAACATACGTAGGACTCTTTCACATGGGAGGAAAGGTGCCAGTAAATGCAAGCGTTTGAGACACAGTTTTACTACACTCTGCCCTGGTCTGAATATTTCAAAAACTGCTGATCTACTGAGATTTTCATGCACAGCCATCTCTATGGTTTACAGAAAATGGTCCAAAAAGAGAAAATATCCAGTGAGTGGCAGTTGTGTGGACAAAAATGCCTTGTTGATGTCAGAGGTCAGAGGAGAATGGGTAGACTGGTTGCTCTGACATTCAGATGGTAGGGTCAGGATTTGGTGTAAAGCATGGATCCATCTTGTATCAATGGTTCAGGCTGGTGGCGGTGTAATGGTGTGGTGGATATTTTCTTGGCACTAGCAAGGTGTACCTAATAAAGTGGCCGGTGAGTGTATAGAGTCTAATAGTAATATTCCACATTGTTAAGACTTTTGCCCCCTTCGACTCACAAATTCGCCTTCCTTTGTTTCCTTTTTATAGATTTGAAGAAAACCTTTAATGAGAGGAATGGACACAAGTCACTGCTGATCTCTAAAGACTTGTAAAGCTGAAAGTATTTTAGCATAAAAATGACCGAAGTGCAGAACTTTTTCAGCATCTCCCTTGCCCCCCCACTGGAATCTGGTGCCCCGAAAGCTGTCCTTATAATAATATGCAACTGATGACCACCATCATGAAAGGATACACACAAAAGATGTGGTAGCAATAGCCATTATAGTTCCTATAGGGATTGACTTTTGGGCATCACGGAGATCTCCGGACCTGTTGGAGCCAGCCATAATCCCTGTAATGGAAAAGGAAAAATAAGAAATGCAGATGCAACAATGACAAAAAACATGACTTGCCAAGAGGAAGCAAAGTATAAAATAACATGCATTTTCATGATTTACTCTCACCCGCCTATCGCACATTTACTCATTCTGCGCCCCAGTTGAGCCTTAATTTAGCCAAAGGTGGGAAGGTGTTTGTGCTCTTTGTTATGAAGCCCGCTTGCCTTCCTCCGGCTACATTAAGGATCTGTATAGGGAGATGTTCTTTGTGGGTGAATACCATTTGCAGCGTCAGATAAAACACACCCTTCCTATAGTTGAGCTAGAGGTGCTTGCTTTCAAAGAATTTGCTTATTAAATCACCAGGCAGAAGTGATAACATGGGTTCTCATTAAAGCTCAATTAACTCAAACTGTGAAAAGTGATTAAAAAAATATTGTCAGGCGGAATATTCTCGTGCTCAAATTACATCCTCCTACAGATACTTCTCTCCTAATCAAACGCAAGGCAGGTGGGGTCGACGTAAAAACCGCAAGCTGCTGAGTGTAATGAAGACGGGAACGAAGATTGTGTCTCCTTGATAAGTCAAACACGCAGGAAGCCATGTCAGAAGAGGTGGTAATCAGTTACAACAACTTATCCATCGCACTGTAATCCTCTTTTAACTTAAATGACATAATTGTCATAAAATGGTTTATGTAAAAAGAGTTTTAAAACATGCATGGGTAATTGTATAAAAGGCTCAGGATGAGTGATGAGATTGGGCGGGTTCAGATTAAAATCCAAACTGCCCCCCCTCCCGCAACTGCAAATTACGAAGGGATCTTTCGCATGGACGTTCTGATTGGGTTCACCTGCCTGTTTTTTCAGGTGGCCCCGATTGGAACCTTCATTTTCCTCTATGGAGCGGCGGGTTTAAATGGACATGTGTCCGTTTACACCCGCCGACATCCGATCTGATTCGTTAAAAGGGATGGATGTGGATCCAATTCCCCTTCCGTCCGTCGGATTGGATGAAAACAGACAGGCGGTCCATTTTCATTTGACCACCCATTGAGGAGAGCGAGCAGCTCTGTGTCTGCTCTACAGTAGCAGAGCAGACACAGAGCTGTCATCCGCTTGCTCAGCGGAGAGATCCCCTTCCGCTAAACAGGTCCGCTCCGTATGAAAGGACCCTTGCAGGCCATAGACAGGTTGAAAACCGTCCATTTTTTAAAAAAAAAATGAAAAATCAGTTGTTCAATAGGCTGAAGTTACCACCAACGGTAAAAAAAATCGTCCGATTTTCGTCCCGTCTACGTCCAGCATTTAATTACTTCTGTCCCTTGCAGAGAGCTCCGCTATTATATTTGACATGTAAAAAGTATTGCGGTTGCAACAATGTATCCCATTGTATCCATTTCGGATACAGATGTTTTTATTCGGATACAAATAGATACATTGTTGCAACTTCAATACTTTTTCATGTCAAATATAATAGCGGACTGGAATTCTTCTTTTTCTTCTTCTTCTTTTTTTTCTTCTTCTTCTTCTTGCAGGCCGCGGCTCATGCGCAGATTTTTTATCGGTAAAAAGATCAGCCGATTTGCCCATCATTGCCGGGAAAATCGGACGATTTTTTTTCCAACTTCACTGATTAAAAAAACGTGCCAAAACCCCAAAAAACGGCCGACCAATTAACCCATTAACGGTGCGAAAATCAGCCGATTTTTTTTTTCGCCCGATTTTCGACCCGTCTATGGCCTGCATAAGGCATATGTGCGATTGCATGGCGGGGAATAAGGAAACTGCTCAGGACATAATTAGATGGTGTTTAAATTATTATGTTTGATGCACAGCCTTGACAGTGTATGTAAACCCTTAGCCCCGGTTCACATATATGCGGCCGTGCGGCACGAGAGCCCATTCATTTGAACACGCAAAGAAGAAGTCCCTGCACTTCTTCCGAAAACACAGCCTGCACGGAAACCTCTGTTCCCAGTGCGGTTGCGCTTTCCAGTGCGGGCAGCCTGCCATTAGAACTATTGGCACCAGGCCCATGGGTCCGCATTCCTCTGTGTGGGTGGTGCGGCTGCACAGATTTTCATGCGGATCCACAGCGGCATCACCCGCACAGATGTGAACCTAGCCTAAGGCCTGGTTCACACCAATGCATTTTTTATTGCTTTTTGCAGAAACACACTACAGTCCATTTAACATGGTTTCCTATGGAACATGTTCACATCTATGCTTTTTTGAGCTGCTGCATTTTTGGAAAGGGTCAGGGACTTTTTTAAAAGCGAAAAGCAGCATTTTTGCTACAATAGATTACAATGGGGAATCTGCTGAAATGCATGGTAGTGAGATTTTGCTGCATTTTGCATTTTAATTCTGCCCAGCAGCAAAAAAAAAATTTCACTTTGAAAAAAAAAAAGCTGAACAAAACGCAAACCGCGGTAAAAATGCATAAAAATGCATCAAACGCGTCAAAAGCAAGTGTAGAAAAACACAAAACAAACTGTGAAAAGCACTGCAAAATGGACAAAAAGCAAACTGCATAGGTGTGAACGGAGTCTTAATGTTTTAAAAAAAATGACTGGAGAACTACTTTAAATGAACCATTGAAAGCACTTTGTTATATCTGTTTGATAACTGCAAAAATTATAGCTTTTGATCCTGCCAGAAATCTTACAGTCTCATAGCTTCCTATGCACACTATCTCTGCTGCACTGTTATAAGTCAGCATTGTTCCTAATTCTCTCTGTGGACTACAAAACACCTCCGTTATGTTGAGGTGGAGTAATTCTGTAGTCCTTCCTAGGGTGCCAACACTGCCCCTCCATAGATACAGCATGGTGCTGTCACTAGGACAGAGAGCAAAACTGCCAGTTGAAAATAAAGGCCTGAAAACATTTTAATGCAGCCATCACATCTAAGGACTGCTAAGCTGCAATATATGACATTTTTGTTCAAAGGTTAAGAGGCACTCAAAAAAAACAATACAGGAAAATGACTGCCTTCAATTCACTTTGTCCAACTGCTAACAAGAGATGCGTAGCCTGATGTGCTAGGTTCAGGATATACTACAGATCAGTGCTAATAAATCAGCAACAGACATTAGCAAACTTCTGGCAGCTAGCACTGAAACATTTGCAAATTTGAAGAGTACAACGATAAAGTGCAGGCACTACATGTACATTTATTCTGTGAGAATTGGGCAAAAAATGAATGTTATTAGACTATTTCCTGTGCTGGTTGAGTTTTTCATTGATTTAAAATGGAAAATACTGCATTTTGGCCACTAGTTGGCGCTAAGTGCCCTAGGATTTTTCTATCACACCCTAGGATTTTTCTATCATACCCTAGGATTTTTCCAAATTACTCTAGGATTTTTCTATAATACCCTAGGATTTTTCCAAATTACTCTAGGATTTTTCTATCATACTCTAGGATTTTTCTAAATTACCCTAGGATTATTCTATCATACCCTAGGATTTTTCTATAATACCCTAGGATTTTTCTATCATGCCCTAGGATTTTTCCAAATTACCCTAGGATTTTTCTATAATACCCTAGGATTTTTCTATCATACCCTAGGATTTTTCCAAATTACCCTAGGATTTTTCTATCATACCCTAGAATATTTCTATAATACCCTAGGATTTTTCTATCATACCCTAGGACTTTTCTATCATACCCTAGGATTTTTCTATAATACCCCAGGATTTTTCTATAATACCCTAGGATTTTTCTATAATACCCCAGGATTTTTCTATCATACCCTAGGATTTTTCCAAATTACCCTAGGATTTTTCTATAATACCCTAGGATTTTTCTATCACACCCTAGGATATTTCTATCACACCCCTAGGATATTTCTATAATACCCTAGGATTTTTCTATAATACCCTAGGATTTTTCTATAATACCCTAGGATTTTTCTATCACACCCTAGGATTTTTCTATCATACCCTAGGACTTTTCTATCATACCCTAGGATTTTTCTATAATACCCCAGGATTTTTCTATAATACCCTAGGATTTTTCTATAATACCCCAGGATTTTTCTATCATACCCTAGGATTTTTCCAAATTACCCTAGGATTTTTCTATAATACCCTAGGATTTTTCTATCACACCCTAGGATATTTCTATCACACCCTAGGATATTTCTATAATACCCTAGGATTTTTCTATAATACCCTAGGATTTTTCTATCATACCCTAGGATTTTTCCAAATTACTCTAGGATTTTTCTATAATACCCTAGGATTTTTCTATCATACTCTAGGATTTTTCTAAATTACTCTAGGATTTTTCTATAATACCCTAGGATTTTTCTATAATACCCTAGGATTTTTCTATAATACCCTAGGATTTTTCTATAATACCCCAGGATTTTTCTATAATACCCTAGGATTTTTCTATCATACTCTAGGATTTTTCTAAATTACTCTAGGATTTTTCTATAATACCCCAGGATTTTTCTATAATACCCTAGGATTTTTCTATCATACTCTAGGATTTTTCTAAATTACTCTAGGATTTTTCTATAATACCCCAGGATTTTTCTATAATACCCTAGGATTTTTCTATAATACCCCAGGATTTTTCTATCATACCCTAGGATTTTTCTATCATACCCTAGGACTTTTCTATAATACCCTAGGATTTTTCTATCACACCCTAGGATATTTCTATCACACCCTAGAATTTTTCTATAATACCCTAGGATTTTTCTATCATACCCTAGGATTTTTCCAAATTACTCTAGGATTTTTCTATAATACCCTAGGATTTTTCTATCATACCCTAGGATTTTTCCAAATTACTCTAGGATTTTTCTATAATACCCTAGGATTTTTCTATCATACTCTAGGATTTTTCTAAATTACCCTAGGATTATTCTATCATACCCTAGGATTTTTCTATCATACCCTAGGATTTTTCTAAATTACCCTATGAATTTTCTAAATTACCCTAGGATGTTTCTACTTTACCCTAGGATTTTTCTATCATGCCCTAGGATTTTTCT